CCCCCCCCCCCCCCAGAATATAATAGTTATATACTGCAAGTTGACAATTATGACTGGTTGCAACTGTTACAATAAGTATTGATATTCCAATCTAAAGCTGAATCTCTGCTCTTTATTTATGCAGCCACTATTACTTTGGCTTTGCTTTAATGAAAGCAATTATTCAATGCACATACTGCTATAAAGTGCTTTAAGAGAAATGTTTCCGATATTTGCTTCTGACTCTGCTAAAGTTGTATAAAAATGATCTATCAAAGTCTGCTTGTCTGTAATGAAAGCAGACACCAATTGTCTATAGTTATGATCATTGATAAAGAAATTATGTAACCTTACGAAATTATATAGCCTTCTATTGGTTTCATTCAACTAATTTATATTAACTAGAAATGCATGCATGTATTCCTATATATTCCAAACATTGTGTCAACATGAAGTATTCGTAGTTACGCCAATACTGAACGCAGGCTCGCGTTGCCACGTCATGTTAGTCATGGCAACACGATAATTGTTTTTTTAATTTTTTGTACAAACCGGGAAAAAATAGATGAAATTTGAACACTTTTAAATACAGAACTATCAATTTCTAAAATATATAAAGTAGGTATAATATTTTGGCTTCTATGGGCTTTATTTTAAATTAATGTAAAATTCAAAACGAAACTCTACATAAAACGTTTTTAAATATGAATTGAAATTAACTGGTTTTTGCCGATATTTATAAACTTCTCAACTCGAGCTTCAACTTATTACTCGTACTTTGAAATGAAACAAATTTAATTCGTACAGGACGCTAATGAAAATAATTTGCTTTTCCTTTTTATCATGAAAGTTAAAATTTAATTTAACTAAGAAACTTTCGCAAACAATGCATAGGAAAGACTTGAACATGAAGAACAAAGTCTATATTATTAAATACAAAGTCATACATAAACAATTGAAACAAACTTCCCCTATACTTTAGGATTTATCATTCTTATCAATGTTTACGTTTAAAAATTGCAAATAATTGTACAATTTGTTATGTGAAACGATTTTCCAAGCTTCCTTACATGTATTTTTTTATATTTTTTGCCGTCTTCACTCCTGGCAAACAGCCATATTTTGAGATCAGTGATGACCACCCACCCAACACTCCAACATTGTTGGTGAGCGCCCGCGGTCATTGATGAACTTTAGACTTCGCTAATGCTTTCGTTTCCCCTGGTGTAAATAGCCGGGGGGAATTAGTACCCTCGCACGGCGCTTGGCGCCGTCGGCTCAGGGATTAAAGTCACCAATGAAAATGCTAAATTGAGAAGTACATAAACATCAACACTTATAACTCGATATACACCTACAACGACAACATGTGGAAGAATCATTACTTTCATAGTTTCATAATAATATTCTCAATGCCATTAGTCAATTTTCTTGTCAAAAATTGCGTATCAGTTCGTTTCCACTGGGTATTAAATGATGAAACCCTTCAAATGCTTGCAAAAAATGCACTATCGATATTTGCCATATTCAGACTAGTAAAATGACGTTGTTTTGACTGCGTTTGATGTATAATTTTAATCGTAAATTCACAAATTTCCCTTTGTTTCACCCTTCATTAAACCGCCATTTTGAAATTAGTATCATTACGTCATTTCATCTATACGCTGTCGTTGATTGGCCATGAGCACGCTTACAAACGTCCGGTACGCGCACGATAGCAATATATCTGCATTCGCAGATACAAATAACCATCCCAACTTTTGGGAAAAACCTTGCCGTGATATTCTTTAAAATCCATTTTATTTTGTATGCTATAGATTTCCCAATTTCTACGATACTATTTCTTTTACTATGTCATGTTTTCATTGTGCTGCATGGTGTTCTGACCGCTGTATTGTGTTTTCGAAACTTGTAAAGTAAAAAGTGTTATTAAAACTTTATTTCGAACGATATAGTTTTACATTTCATTTTACCAAATTCCTCAGCCATTTCTTGAAGAAATTAATGCTAAACAGAAACTATGTTTAATTCTAAGTCCGGTGAAAGAGTCATTCCGTTATTGTGTTTATATTCCAAGCAGAAATCGAGAAAAACAACTTTGTAATAAAGTCACACAAGAAGCCATTTTGAAAGCGTTTGCGTACAACACTGCAACACTATTAGTGAACAGACCGAAAACAGTTTTATTTCTGAAATAAATTGAACTGATATTCGGATATTTTGTTTTATTCATTAAAACAACTATTCGCCTCAGGCTCAGTGATCACGGTGAATATTCACCTCGACTTCGTCTCGGTGAATATTCACCGGTAATCACTTCGCCTTCGGCGAATAATTGTTAAATATTAGATACATATACAGTATGTCCTGCCTAAACATATAATTATTATTTTGAGGTGAAAAATAAACAACGTCTTTTATTGAGTAGATACTTCAAAAATTGTCCATTGCGATTTGGCGCTGCCATCGTGTGTTCAGCAAATGTTCAACATGTGCTCAACAAATCTATCCGACGGTTCATATTAAAATGCCTGTGATTTTGCACACCATCGGACGAATCTGCTGTAAAGTAAAACCGACGACTGTGCCGCTACATCGCTGTTGGCAGTTTGCAAAAATAAATTGGAAACTTTGAGTTCGCTTTCTAAAATTTATATCTAGCTAGGCCTTAATTATACTACATCAAGTAAGTGCTATTGCCACCTTTTTACGCTAAAACGTTTTCTTAATTTGTGAATTAGGTTTTGCACTATAATAAGTAAAGTCTACTTTGGTTAACTGATTTTTTGTTGCATTTGTTTATCATATTTTATTTGCTTTACTTTTAGGAATTCTACTTCTTCAAAAATGAATCCGTCCAACGATCACAACAACTGGATAACCGTTGGAGAAGTAATCAATCTAATTAGGAAACCTGTTGCTTTGTACACTGGCCAGATCGTAAAAAATTGGCATGCTAAGCTGTGTTGTCTTTTAAAAGGGGGATGCGCAAATCCTATAATGTGCGAGAAAGAAACAGTCCATAAAAAACTTTGCCACTCTTGCAACCAGTGGTACCAGGAACTTGCTAAATGGCATAAAAAACCAAATAAACGACAGATAAAATGGCGTGAAAACTGCGACACATCAAAGTGGCCTGTTGATCCATGGGAGGTAGCCAAGTTTTTTATGCCTTTCCTTGGAGACAATAAGGGAACCGTCAAAGACGCAGATTCCACTGATTTATCATCTCTTCTAAACGTCCTTGAGTGGATGGATGATGTAATTTTCTCTCCAGACAGGCGTGTGGATCTCGATCTTGTTAGAAAGCTTCGTTCAGTTAGAAACTCTTGGGCGCATTCATCACATCAAGAGTTAACCGATGCTGATCTTAACAACGCTTTTGACACTGCCAATAAGATTCTTGCCGACCTTGCTATTGTTTTCAGCTGTTACGAAGTCAAGAAGTGCATAAAGGATATCAAGTTTGTACAAACTAACGGAATAACCAATGTCGTAAAATCCGAATTAGATGCTGTAAATTTAATGCGCGATGAGTTAGTTGCAGATGTCAGCCAATTAAAAGAAAATCAAATCTCCGACCGACAGATCATCAAGGAAAACGAGAAAAAGTTGGAGAATCTCGAAAAACTCATCAGCCAATTACAAATATCGAATGTTCAAGAAACTGAACGACGGGCGCAAATAAAAAACTGCATACCCGACAAACCTTGTACGTTCATTGGGCGTGACGCCGAAGTAAAGGAAATTATTTCTTCCTTGACGGAGAACGGCTGTGGAATTGTCTCCATTGTTGGTGGCCCAGGGTTTGGCAAAAGCACCGTTGCAATTCAAGTGTCCCATCATCTGATCGATAATCATGACATCATCGTCATTTTCTCATACCTGTCAAATGTTTCAACTGTGCCTGATGTTTTTCTACGTCTCTGTCAAGACGTTGGCGTTAATCCTGGAGAAGATTCTAAATTATCGTTTACGTTGTGGTTAAAGGATATTAAGGAGAGAGTCGTCCTTGTCATGGATAACATCGAGCAACTGCTTGAAGAAGAAATAAGATCCGAATTTACTGAGTTAGTGCTCACGCTCCGCAAGAATTCACAACAACAGTTGCAGATCCTAGCAACGACAAGGACCGCATTCTCAATTCCTAACCAACCCACCAAAAACATTCAGATAGGTGAGTTGGATGAAAAATCTAGTGTCGAACTTTTGAGAGGGTGCTGCCCTAATACTGAAGTAAAAGATAGTTACTTGTGTGACTTGGCTAACCTTTGTGGTTTTATTCCTCTGGCTTTATGTATCACCGGATCTAGAATTCCACGTCTAGATGATCCAACTGAGTTGATTGAATGGTTAATAGAGAAGCCTATGAAAGCTTTACAGTCAACTGACAAAACGCAGTGCGTCCGAAAAGCCATCGAGTTTTCTTTTCAAATGTTGAGTAATGAAGAAAAGAAAGCATTCGCTCGTCTTTCTGTATTCAATGGAAATTTCCAAAAGAAGTCTGCTCAAGAGGCAATCGAGAGAGATGGGTTGGAAACCCAAGATTTCTTAGAGCAGCTCGTAGATCGCAGTTTAATACAGAGTAGCAGTGATAACCGTTTCGTGATTCATTTGCTTATTCGACGGTTTCTGGCCGATCATGACCAACTTCAACATGAAAAGGCAATAGCACAAGGATTGATGGTGAAACATTTTCTAAACATGTGCCATTTGTTGACCATGAATTCTTACTCCAAAAATGGATTTACCGTTGCCAGAGAATTACTGAAGAAAGACGCCCACAATGTTGAAGAAACGTTCAAACTCTGCAGCGAAGATCAACCAAAAATCATCGAGTCCTTGGAAAGTAGTGATATTTACAAGTCGTCATCCAGATTCTTTTACAACTTTGGCTGGGACCTTCTTCCACTATTTGTTTTAAGGAATTTCCATGAATCCTGTATAAAGCTAGCGAAAGGTCGAAAGCAATTAGCCATTCAGATCACATTTCAGTGTCTAGTAGCAGATCAAGAAGGTCGTAGAACTGCGTGGAAATCTCCTGAATACATCTACAGGATGGAGGCTATAAAAGAAGCGTTTGACAAAAATAATGCGGTGCTGAAAGAAGATAGGTCCTTATATAGCTATTGTTACTATTTTTATGCCCGATATTATTCTATAAAAACGAATGAACCATATCCTGATCTTCAAGATGACATTACGCCTGTGCCTGAAAACATGGATCGAAGTACTATCGAGAAAGTTGACGAGGCACTTGTTCTAATCGAGCGTGGGTACTTGTGTAAGAGACGTGCAACTAAAATAAGCTCAGATAGAGTAAAATACGAGGAACACATGAAGAGTGCTGGATTGTTTTGCAATCAAGCTTTGTCATCAGCCAAAGAGTTGTTGGGCGAACACGAATTAACTTGCATTTGTCACAAAGTGTTAGGAGACTTATACTTTACCTGGCGGAAGATTAAAAAGGCATTAAAGTATTATTCTGATGCCATACAACTGCGGAAGAAACTGAAACTTGATTCTAACGAGCCTTTCGTGTATTTGCTCAAGAATTATGGATCGTGCCTTTCTATTCTTCGCCGCTTTGAAGCGTCAGTGGAAAATTTAAACAAAGCACGTGACATAGTTGATAAGCTCGCTGAGAAGCACACACCTTATAGAGCAAAAGTGTATTATGCGTTGGCAAAAACGTATCGTGACTGGAAACGTCATTGCCAAGAATCCGTGAAATACGCTAAAGTGGCAATGGAGATGCAAGTGTTGTTGGACCCACGCTCTGTAAAAGAATTGGAAGATATTATTAAAACGGCAGAAGAATGCATGGAGCGTTAAACGGACGTCAACCACGACGGACGTGGTCTTGCTAGCTCCTGAAAATATTATAGTTTGCTAACCTATTCATATCTCTATAACAAATTGATCTTGCTGTAAAGGGGGCATTTGTTATCTGTTGATCTGGCGAATTAAATTAAAGACTAAACGGTGCTAACAATTATTTAAGTTCGAGTAAAGTGGTTTTACCTACAAGAACTATGCCTACCACAACTCGCAATATGGCGGCCGCTGATAGTCCTGCCTCAGTAGAATTTATTACTCAAATGGACAACTATATTCAAAGCTCGGAAATTTAAAAAAAAAGTACTCGTGGAAGCCCTGAACTCTGCTCTACAAGAAACATTAACACCGCTTTATGTAGTGTTAAGTTTCATCTCTGCGAAGCGAACTGCATGAAGTCAAAGCTAAAGCAAACGTCAACGAACAGTATTCAAGGCGTAACAACATAAGAATTTTTGGACTTGGGGAAGAAAATAATGAAAACTGCTACGATTGTGTGATGACTAAATTTGGACGTTAAAAGAAACGAACTTGATCGTGCCCATGGCGTGGGTCGTGCTCGTAACATGACTCATTCTTCTAATAACCCAGTTCATCCTCGGCCTATGATTGTTAAATTGACTGGTCATCAAAGCAAATTAAGGTGGCTAATTACAGTTTTCAAAAATTCAGGTGTTCAACACTTTGACATGTCCAAAATACGCATTTTTAGGATTTATTTAGCATATATTAGGTTTTTTACATATTTTGATATCTCTACTATCAAATTATATTAGTCTCAGTAACAGATAGTTCGTTGCTATGACGACATACGTGTACGAAATTCACTCCAAAATGGCCTATCGTCTCGTATAATTGGAAAAGAAGCATCGTGACCCACAATATTTTTTGTGCATTATTTTACTTGGACGAAAAGCTAACAATTAGCAAAATATAAAAAATTCTGTAATGCCATTTTTTGGAAAATGCGAAAATGTCGTACTCTTCGGTGAAATGTTTAATTTTGGCATCATAGAATTTTTTATTTTTTGTATAATAATAGTTTTTAGCGGTGCAATATTCAGTTAACGCGATCTGCGCGTGAAAATGGTCACCCAGTTTTGTTCGCAATTCTTGAGCAGAGTTTTTGTGATAAATATATAGAGCCACCTTAAAGTTCATCTTACCCGGGAAAACTGCGAGCTTCTGAAATATATTAAAGCAAATTCACTCAAAGACCTCGCTGTTTATACCATCGACGGTATGATTATGGCGCGTGCACCAGGACAAGCCAGCATGTAACAAAGAAGTCAGCATGTAACAAAGTAAACTTTTTCTGGACTACTTTTACTTGGAACGAAGATGTTTTAAGAAGTAACGTTTTACTTCGTTATTTTCATTTTGTGGCGAAGTATTTCGTTACTTTCTCACATCTGTTTAATTTCACGTGATTTATTCCCGATTTATTTTAATATTGGGATAGGTAATAGGACCTCTACATGCGTCTGGGACCTCTTGTTTGTGGCTTACTTATAAGCATGATTTATTTAATGGATTTCTTGTATCTTCTACGGGGTCTAGAATGCAGACCATGCCGTGAATCATTGTATGTTATGGTGCACGCATATATTGCGTGTCTCTTGTATGTCAATCCATTGGAGTAGTCCCCCCCCCCGTCCCCCCCCCCCCCCCTACACGCTATGGACAATAGTACTTTTACTTTTACTTTATACTTCAAGTATTTTTAATTAAAGGATACTTTGTACTTTTTACTTAAGTACGTTTTGCCTCCAGTACTTTTTACTCTTACTCAAGTCGTTTTATTGTTAATTACTTCTACTTTTACTCGAGTACAAATTCAAAGTAATTTAGGCACCACTGAGCAGAAAATATCGTAAGATGCGAAATTATAGCTGCCCAGCTCAAAGAAAAGGTGACAGTATTAACCCAAATCGACGAGGAAATTTTAAACTTATGCGATGCGAGCGAAATCGGAGTAGAGATCGAAGAATCAGCCGAAATATCGGACAGAATATCAGAAACGAAGCGAAAAATCGACAAGCAAACAAAAGCCGCCAAAAATCACGATAATATTAATACGAATGTAAACGACGCGAATTCGAACTTGAACTCGGCTACAGAATAGGGAAATACAACGAATCTAATCGAAAATTCAACAAGCACAACGAATACGACGGGGGGAAACGAAATCGAAGAAAATACGAGTCATAATTCAGTCAATAGTCGGGCTTCCCCACAGCAAACAATAACTACAAATACGACAACAACGCCCGGGAATTTTGTGTCAAGCTGCCAAAAACTCCCTAAATTTGGAGGTCAAATAACCGAATGGAATCATTTTGGGATCTATACGACTCCGCAATTCACAGCAATCCGAGTATCTCGAAAGTCGAAAGTAAACAAATTTAACTATTTACAGTCTTTGCTTGAAGGTAATGCAGCGCGAGCGTTAAAAGGCCTTACGTTAACCGGGGCAAATTATGACGCTGCTGTTCAAATATTACAAGAACGATTTGGGAAAACCCAACAGTCGATATCGGCCCACATGGACGAAATTTTAAAAATTCAAGCTTGTACGAGCAATCGAACAGGACAAGGTATGTCTATGATAAAATAAACATTCACGTACGAGGTTTAGCGACTCTGGGGGTTTCCTCAGAGCAATACGGAAGTATGCTTATTCCGAAAAACGATTTTAAGAAATTCGAAGCATTGTTTAAATTGTCTTCGCAAGGGACACCTAGCGAATGTCGATGCGAAAAAATGCCGATACTGCTCAGGGAAACACCATCAATCAATATGTCCTAATAACTCGAACTCGAAAAATGATCAAAAATAAGTGGAGGACAAAAACGCGAGCGAAACAAACAAGGACGGTGAAACAAGGACATTAACTCGAGTATGTAAGAGGAGCGTCTTGCTGCAAACTGCGAGAGCCGTTGCGACTAATGGTTCTAGGTCAAAGCCCGCATTTTATTCGACACTGGTAGTCAGCGGTCGTACGTTACTAATGATCTTGCTAAGCAACTAAAGCTAACACCACTGAAACGAGAGACATTGCATTTAAACACATTTGGAAACAGCCAAACAAAACGTGAAAATTGTGAGCTTTTCAAGTTCAATATTCGAAGTACGAGGGGAAATGAGAGCGTTGAGCTTAGAGCAATTAGCTTTCCGACCATTTGTTCGCCTGTCAGTTCTGTGATAAATGTCAATAATTACCCACATCATCAGGAGCTAGAGCTTGCAGATTTCGATGCAAACGGAACATGCAATGATAACATTGACATACTAGTCGGTGCCGATTTCTATTGGAGCATAGTTACTGGAGACGTTGTTCGAGGAGATAATAGCCCGACAGCTATTAGTAGTAAACTAGGGTGGCTTTTGTCTGGACCTTCAACGCAGAATTCTACCTACGAGTCTACAACGAGCAACCTTATCTTAGCTGGAGACTGTATCGACAACTCCCACGCGCAAACCGACAGCAATGGTGACTTAACAGCCGCGCTTTCACGTTTCTGGGAAACCGAAAGTATCGGAATTAAGTCGATTGAGGAAGGAGGTAACCAGGACGGAAGCAATTTCTCGAAAGATATACGATTCACAGGAGAACGTTACGAGGTTGGACTGCCATGGATTGAAGATCGACCGGAAATTGGAAATGATTTTGATCTCTGTTACAATCGTTTAAAGTTGTTTCACAGAAAATTAAAGAAACGGCCATAGCTACTGTCAGAGTATAACAAGTGCATCGAAGATCAAATCCAAGCAGGTATCGTGGAAAAGGTCCCGGCCGCAGAAGACAACAAGAATCAAGAAGATGTGCATTATCTTCCGCATCATGGAGTTATCCGAAATGACAAAGTCACGACCAAGTTACGAGTAGTCTATGACGGTTCGGCAACGACAGCTGATCGAGAACATTCGCTTAATGACTGTCTGTCGACCGGACCTAATTATATTCCTCAGATTTTTGAAATGCTTGTAAAATTCAGAGCTGATCGTGTTGGATTGGTAGCAGATATCGATAAAGCTTTTCTAATGGTAGGGGTCAGCAACAAAGATCGCGATATGCTACGTTTTTTGTGGTTCAAGAACATTGAATATCATGACGCTGAACTAGTTCAATTACGATTTTGCCGATTAGTGTTTGGTTTGAGGCCGTCCCCAGCTATTCTAGGGGCGACTATTAATCATCATCTAGACACTTTGCAAGAGAACAATCCAGAAATGGCAGAACATTTACGAGAATCCCTGTATGTTGATGATCTGGTGTCCGGTGTGCAGAATGATGAAAAGGCATTCCAAATTTACGAAGAGTCCAAAGAAATAATGTCAACCGGAGGATTCAACTTGCGAAAGTGGCATTCAAATTCGAGTAGTTTGATGAATTCTATCAATGCCGTAGAGGATAAGGTCGTTTCAAGCTCTCCAGACAACCAACCTGGCGTTATCGAGGAAGATTTATCGTATGCGAAAGAATTGATAGCACAAGAATCTGCACCAGCAAATAAAACACAAATTAAAGTTCTGGGGAAAATTTGGAACACTGATACGGATATGTTGTTATTCAATTTCGAGGAATTAATCGAGTACGCTAAATCGTTACCAATGGCAAAACGTTCGTTTCTAAAGTGGTCCTCGAAGATTTTCGATCCATTAGGTTTCTTAACGCCGTTCACAATTAAGTTGGAAATGCTATTTCAAGAACTGTGTTTAGCTAAGACAAGCATCTGATCCCGATAGAAGTGCGCCAGACGATCAGAAAGTAGCAGAGCAAGGAGAAGATAAGCAAATACCACCTCAATCAACACGGCCTCAAAGAGATGCTGCCATAACTGGACAACTTAGGCGGCTGAAACAATCAGGCGTTTTGTAAATAAAGAACAAGTATGACAATGACACTGATAAGTTATTCATACTAAATAGGGATTAGTTGACAACATATTTGTCAACCCTGGGGAGTGTGAGAAACATTTGATATTAAGGGAAAATGACGTCATATGTCTTCACCGGAAGTGAAACATGTTTGATTGACAGTTTAAGAGTTTTGTATAAAGCATGCGTTTTATGTACAATGTAAATAACATAGGTTGAAGTTTAATACAAATCATAGCAAACGAGCACGAAGTTTACGAAAGTTTATAATACACTTGATTGAATTTTCAGCAGAAGATATGCTGGCCATGGGGATTTACAAGAAAGACGACCTGGCTACGTTTAAACTACATAAGATTACCCCAGGAGCGGATGATTAAACTAAACGATGAGTTTGAGTATTATTTTCTTTGTTCTGTGTGTTAATCGTATTTTGCTGTGTGTTTATTCTATGTTATGTACTCTTAAATTTTATTGGCAGCTTTGTGTTAACAAAATAATTCACGTGCAGCGGATAGCGAATGACTTTATTAAAACATATAATCGGCGCTATTTATCTCGGCGTTAATTTAGCTATTTACCTCGTGTAAACTAGCGTTAGCTAACAGAGGTTCTTTTTTAAATACATACAAATACAAATACAATACAAATCTATCGAGCAGCTATCGGTACGTTTAATAACAAAGCTTGTTTTGATTTGGATTACTTCCGAGTTGCATCTTTTGGTATTACAATCTAGTATTAAGTTTATCTATTCTATTGCTTTTATCTGGTTCTGTCCATCCTAATCCAGGACCTTGCCAATCATGTTTGTCCAAAGCTCATCTCAATGCAAGAAGTTTACAGATATGTGATAAGATAAGCGAAATTTCCGTCCTTGCTTTCCAGCATAAATTCTACTTTGCTTTTTCAGAGATATGGCTAAATTCAAATGTCCGTAATGACTCAATTTTGATTTCTGGTTAAAATGCTCCCCTGAGAAAAGACCGTTTGACTTCTCGTGGGGGAGGCGTTGCACTTTTACGTTGGTGAACATTTACAAGCAGTTAGGCGTCTGGATTTTGAGTCTAATGCTAATGAACTATTGTGGGCTGAAATCAAAGTCGGTTGTTTTAAAGTGCCTATATCACTTGTGGGATCTTTACGAATTTGGAAAGAGCACAAAAAGTTAGTTACTAAGTTCTTCAACCTTTTTTGATTTAGTTCAATAGTTTCTGAGATATAGGCCCTCAAACATGGCAATTTTGACCTTTTAGCGAAAAAAATCCGTCGTACTAAATTTTGCTTGGGGGCCTGGGACTCAGGAACCCAATTTGCAAGCACGCCGTCTTTCCTAATAAAAAACATATATTTTCGCTTGTGATATCTGTTGCGTTTTTTGAAATAATGCCCGAACGATGCGTTGTCTATGGCTGTAACAACACAGCAAGATCAGAAAAAGGTGTATCTTTATATCGTATACCTTACTGCGACGATAATCGGCAAGTAGCAAAAGGCAGGCGAAAGAAATGGTTGAACTTTATTCGGCGGAAGAGAGACCAATGGACGCCAAGTTCTGGTTCAGTTGTTTGCTCAAAACACTTCACGGAAGACTGTTTTGAATACGGTTCCGACACAGTCCCACTATACAAAACCCCTAAGCTTAAACGAGATGAAATTGGGATTACTGCTGTTCCATCTTTGATGCCAAAAGCGACATGTTTGGATAGTGAACGCAATGTGCGCCTACAACGCAGAGGAAAGGTATGAATATGTTTCTTGTATATTTTCTAGTGTTTTAGTTTGAATTAAAATAAAGTTCGAATCGTGTGTATTTAGTCATATTTCATGCATTTGTGTTGAACTATTTATGATCTTTGAATCTCTATATTTATAGCTATCATTTATGGAAGAAGGACCTTCGACTAGTATTATGGAGGAGCCTCAGGTATGTTGGAGTTTGAAACAATGTATCACATTTCCTGTAGTGATGTGTGATAATTTATCAAGGCAATGTCAGTCGTTACATGTTTGTAAACCACATACAAATAGAATATATATATTATATATATTATAGATATCATATGTGGAAGAACCTTCGACTGGTGGGGAGATCTTTGAGGAGCCTCAGCCTTCTACCTCGGCAAACGTAAGTATCTATGTCAGCAGTGGTCGTTTGTATATATACTGCTTGTAAACTCCATACAAATATAATTAAAATGTTAATTAGTGACAATCTTACAATAATTGGTGCTGTTATGAGTATATTTTTTGTGTTTTAGTTTGGTGAACAGTCTGAAGGCATTCAATGTGGCAATTGTGAATCCTTATTGAAGAAAAATAGACAGCTTCGTCTAAATTGGCTGTCTGCAAAACATAAGCTTGAAATTTGCAGAAATCAAATGAACTCACAAGTGGAAAGCCAATTAGGTGAGTTACTTGCATTTCTTTTTGCCTTACATAATTAGGGGGGGGGGCCGAGGGGGTGTCCAGACCATTGCAGAACAAGTCTGATTGCCATTGCCATATATAGATGTATTAGTGTTTCATTCACACCCAGTGGCCAGTTTGATAATGGCTACATACTGTATATATTAACGACATTTTTTGATCATCAGGAAATGATTCCCAAGACATGCCTTCCAGCAATGATCCCACACCTGCAAGTATGCCAATTGAAAGCGATGATGAGCATTCTAGTTCAGATATTGGATTACCTACATCAGATGCTGTTTTTGATGAAGAAGCACCAATGGAATCGACAGAAACAGAGACAGAGGATGAGACAAATCCACAGCATAAAAAGTGAGTGCACAACCCTGATAATAGAATAAAATGTGTGGGTAGGCTAAGAACGACACCAGTAGTTTGTAATTACATATATCAGAGGCAACCAACATAAGCTGTATGGATTTACTAAATATGTGTTAATTTTTCAGGGTTTTTAATGATTCTAATTTGCGAAGAGAACCAAAGTTCATTGTGTTCTTCACCCAGTTGCTTACACTCTTCAAATTTTGCCATGCCTGCAAATTTGACCATCCATTAATTGATGTTCAAGAGAATGGTACAATGGCTGAAGTAACATCCACATGTGCTAACCCAAAGTGTGGCAGGACAACCAAGTGGTTCAGTCAGCCGTATATGACAGGCACGAAGATCCCAGCTGGCAATTTCCTTCTATCATTTGCGATACTTGTTGCTGGAACATCAGCCACAAAAGTGTTGCGGGTATTTAATCATATGGGATTGAAATGTATCTCACTTTCAACATTCTTCAAACATCAACGTGTGAGTGTTGGTACATAATAAATGTTTAATATTATAAGGGGCCATTTAATCACACGATCCTGGCCGGTTTGGAAATTACATAGATAGGGTACCATTGAGCACTCTTTCTCCCCTTGATTAGTAAATTTATACTTGCATTTTTATTCGCAGGAAAAGCTATTCCCTGGAATATTTATTCACTGGAAAAAATATCGAGAGGGATTGATTCAAGAACTGAAGAACCATGGTGACCTAGTGGTAGCTGGTGATGGAAGGCATGACAGCATGGGCCACAGTGCCAAGTACTGTGCCTACACAGTATTTTGTTATACAGTGCCATTATTCACTTTGCACTTGTGCAGGTATGTTACTTAGAAAGTACTGTGGAAATTGTAGCACATTATAGCTGATCAACTTGGAAGATACAGTAATGTAATAACAACTGAAAAGCATAATACCACCCAGGGGAATTTTTAATGCATTTATACATTATAGAGGGTCCTGAAGGGGGGGGGGGGTCGTATTCCCATTTCCCAGCCCAAATTTTGACTAAATCCCATTGTCCCAGAGCACAAATCCCATCATCTCAGTGGCTGTCCTGCTCAAATTTTAATCCCATTCCCATTTTCTATTGTTTTTTTGCTGATGAATCCCAGTCCCAGTGCATGAAATCCCATTTTCCCACCCAAAAATAAGCAAATCCCAGTTCCCATTTTACCCCTTCAGGACCCTCATTATATATGCATGTATTTATACAGTATAATTTATTTCCCATTTCTAGAGAAATGAAGCAGGTAGCAGTACTGCAATGGAGTATCATGGTTTTGTAAGGAGCATGGAATATCTTCTGGGCTGTGGATTACTGATTAAGACGTTTGTTTCAGATCGACATACATCAATTGCAAAGCACATGAGGGAAAAGCTGGCCAACATCAAACAATATTTTGACATTTGGCATTTGAAGAAAAGTATGTTGCAAATAATAATAATATGCAATATTTATTTATTTATTCAATATCAAAAGTCCATGTATTCTTGCATCTGAAATCTGAATACATAAGAGTGTATCATGTAAAATTAGAATGCTGTTTTTAGGTTTGTAATCCAAGTGAGTATATATACACTTTAAGACCTGACCAGGAACGACTGTCAAAAATGCAGCACATTTTCCACATTGCATTTTTCGCAGTCACTCCTGGTCAGGTCTTAAAGTGTATATATACTCAATTGGATTACAAACTTAAACACAGCATTCTAATATTAATTCCACCAAGTGAAGTGCAAGAAGCCGGATTATTGAGGTCCGCCTTATCATGTAAAAACCCATGAAATTTGACTGGCACCAGGACACTGAATAGAAACTGTACAGAAATATAACTTCATATATGGATGCCTATGATTTTGGAGTGATCATTCACACCATGGATCTAGGCAGTGCGTTAAGGAGAGGCATTCCCTCCTGAATGTTTGCCATTTTGAATATACAGGGGGGTGAATGCCTTTCATAGGCGCACTGGCTTAGTCAGCATTTGATGACAAATCATGGCATGGCATGGTTACGGTGCAGTTTATATTCTGTAACCAGGATGCAAGATAAAATAACCGGGGTATGATATTGCTCTGAGTGAGTGCATGAGTGATTGACAATTTTATTAACTGGTAAAGAATAAAATCATATCAATAATTATGGAGAAATATGGAGCTTTCTCATTTTTTGTTTCCTTTGATGGTACCGGTATATAATTTTTTTTTGCTGTAATACCATTCTATTTTAGAAGTCACAAAAGTCTTGACAAAACTTGCTAAAGTTAGTGGCAACGAAATAATCAGTGAGTGGCTTAAGCCATGTACAAACCACTTATATTGGAGTGCCAGAACAACGCAAAGTGGAAATGGGGATGTTATTTGGGCTAAGTTTTCATCATTCTTCAGCCTTGTTGTTAATAAGCACAAAAATTTGACAAACCTGTTGTTTGATAAGTGTGCACATGCAGATGAGATTCACCCACGCAAGTGGATGGATGAAGGTTGGTAGTGCTATGTCAATGGTGTTATAATTAGTACAATACAATATTCCACAATTCCTCTATGCAATTGCCTGTAAATCCTTATCCTTGGGTCATTGAAATGACCAACTTCATGCTCAGATTTATGACCAACTTCATGCTCTTTTTACCTTCCATACTGGGCTAAAACCAAAAAATCCCTCTTCCAATAGTACAATCTCATAATAAGTAAATTAATTAAATAAAAAGCAGAAGCCCTTTGGGGGTATAAAAAGGAATAAAATTGTATATTCACAACTTGTGTGCACATGAATAGTTTTAATTGTTCAATAAAATAAATATCTATTAATCATTTTCAGGTTCCATTGCTTATGAGAAAATGCTTGCAGCTTTAACAAATAAAAAATTGATGAATGTTATAAAGAAGGCATCTCCTATTGGTCAGACAAGCTGCCTTGAAGGCTTTCACTCTGTACTGAATCAATTTTCACCAAAAATGATTGGATACAGCTATCCAGGAATGTTCTGCAGGTATAGTGATTTTTGCAATAGCATGTTTGTATATTTATCACTCTTTAATTAAACAATTGTATTGGAATATTGAAAGAGGCGAGATCTCGCTTGCCGGGATGGAAATTTCTCCATATAAACACTCACAAGCGGGCTAGCCCGATTGCCGGGATGAAAGTTCAAAGATACCGCCGCAAGCTATTTTTAGCAACTGTCAAAACAATACAATGTAACAAAATTGTCCCGGCAAGCGGATGAAATTTTCTCATATAAACAAGAGAAATCCATCCCGCTTACCGGGCTGTCTCGCTAAGCGGGCCAGCCCGGCTTCCATATATATACAGGCCCTAAATAACACATGAGTCAGAAATAAGAACTGACCTTTCCTTCGAGTCAACTTGTCTATATTTCTGACCACCGCGTGTTTTAAAATTCTCGGTTGCGAGCTCCAAAGCCCACCTGTTTAGACAAATCGCGTCAAATCCTGGATGGTTTGTGATACACATTTGTTGGCTATTCGCGAGAGTCAATGCATCAACACACTTTGGTATTTCAGTGCAACAGCGACATTCCTTTGCATCTACTAAATTATCTGTATTACAGAAACCACAATTACACCTAGAAAAAAATATGGTTTAGCTGTTATGATTTCAGTATTAATACAATATAGTTTATGTAAACATATATATTCCATCAGACCATGGCAATATGGCGGCCAAAGATATTGATTATCTTACCAAGAATTCACGGGGTTTTGTCCGTTTAGTCGAAGATTTAATTCCTCTATTTCCCTGGTATATTCGTCTTGTCTTCTTTCATATTCTTCGACCCATGATTCGTCTGCAAGGGGCTCGTCAGTGTATGCTAACGAGTCCATGCTGTCTAGCAATTCCTCTTCGACGGCATATGATGGCTCACTCTCATACCCATCTTTTGACGTCGTTTCAAAATCTTCATCTTCAATTTCATATTCAGGGCAACCATAGGAGCCCTCGTCAACAGTAGAGGACGATTCTGAGCTAGACATAGCGATTTATCTTCAAAATAATTGAGTTTTTGTCGGCCGCGATGCAAAAATGTAATTGATTTTATAATACTTGACGAACGACCGGTTCCTGAGTCCCAGTCCCCCAAGACGACGGATTTTTTTGAAAATTGCCATGTTTGAGGGCCTATATCTCAGAAACTATTGAACTAAATCAAAAAAGGTTGAAGAACTTAGTAACTAACTTTTTGTGCTCTTTCCAAATTCGTAAAGATCCCACAAGTGATATAGGCACTTTAAATTACTTGTGGTGTCTGTTATAGACCACCCAACCTATCTGCAGAGGCTATTGATGAATTTTTTACGTGTTTTCAAGAAAGTCTGATTTAATTTTTTCTACATCTGGATTTTCAGCTGTGTTTATTCTAGGTGATTTTAATGCTCACTTATCAGTAGTAAATGCTGATTTGCTCCTTAATTTGACGATATATCAAAAATGCCCTCATCTTTCCATATTAACAACCCCCAGTTTAAATACAATCGTAAGCTCCTAACCCAGCGTTACTGTACGGCTCAACACTAACTTAATTGTTGTGACGTCATTATTGTAAATATCATGAATAAATCCTTATTTCGATCACAAATATATTTTTTTGATCTTGACCGTAATCACAACCTAACCCTAGCTTTATTGTGCGCGAAACATGAGAATCTAACCATAAATTATTTCTCATTATAAAATAACATGTACACAACGCGTGCTCTGATTGGTCGAAACCCGTGTTTGGATCAGGCCATCCAAACACGGAAATTTAAAGTGAAAGTTTTTTAAAGTGAAATTTTAACGAGGAAAGTTGTTTTTTTATAAAACATTTGGCTCGTATTTCGCACGCTTATCTTAACTCTCGCAACATTCCCGCGTGTTTGGATCAGGCCATCCAAACACGGAAACCATAAAGTAATTGTATAATCTTACTATCCTACCGTTACTCTAATATTTGTGACATCAGAACGACGATAGTATGGAAACTTGTACCCATTTTTGGAACCATTTCACTAGACTACAATATGAGCCAATAATTATTTTAACATTACACAGATTATTCGATGCCTTTAATTGCACAACAACGATAGACTGTATCACTATTAAAAACCATGCAGAAACATTACTTCAAACTATCATAAGACCACAACTGTACAGTGCGCGGTATGTACACGAGCAGTAGAGTGCTTTATCAGATATAAAAGACGAGAGCGCAGCTCGAGTGTTTTATATCTGATATAGCACGGACTGCGAATGTTTTAAATGGCTTAAACGTAAACTGAACCTGATTCACACACATGGCGTCCCAAAAAAACATTGAAATAACCTATTGTTCGAATTTGAATGCCTCGGCACACTGCTGAACCCACAACGGTGCATAAAGCTTGACAGGCAAAATGCTATCGTCCCAAAAAAGAGTTCGTTCATTTTTGTTCCTCTATATTTGCCTGACTAATATCTTTAAGAAATTATTGCTAATTCATATTGTTAGAAAAATTGTATACCCGCTGAGTGCGATAGTGTTCTACTTCCTGAAGTAAAATCCGCAGACTCCAATTGGCAATTAGCTACATGATTTACAAGGAGTTTGAAGTTTAGGAACCAATCATGCCGCGATCGTCAGATCCATCTTGCCTCGCATCTTGCCGTGTTTAACTACAACTTTCTTTGCTTGTGTGTATATTGTTTATATATGTTCATTATATATTGTCAGTTGTCACTTGATTGATCTTTTCATTAAATGAATAATCAATCAAAAGCTATTTTTCGCCCCCATAGGCGTCGAAAGATCGATAAGGGGGGGGGGGGGACTATATTCATATATTCGTGTTCATAGACCTTAAAAACAATCGATTTCAAAAGAAATTAATAATGCAGAACACGAATATATGAATATGGTCCCCCCCCCCCATTTATCGATCTTTCGACGCCTATGTTCGCCCCGAATTAGCAAGACAACTTTTCCGGCCACCAGACGGTCGGATTCCACAGCATTTTTGACACGATTTCAATCAGACGTATGTTTCGCACAACACTCCAACCCGATGATTAGAAGGCGGCGAAAAGTAAGGCTAGCTAGTATAAAGGCAGACTAGCTTCAAGCAAAAATAGGCGTATTTATCTGAAGGTGTCGTTCCAGTTATATCACTTCAATGCCCGCCACAAAGCAAACGTGTGCGAAAACGGATTGTTATCTCGACAAACATAAAGTATAGCTAAAGAATCTTCCTGACACATAAGTATCATCACTCTATCGCAATAAATGTTTCTGCGCGGTCAGTGGCCTCTAGAATTTGCCAGTCCATTTGACATAAATTTGGTGTCAGTACGACATTGTTAGTGCTTAGCAGTGATGTTGCTAATTTGCCGTTTAATTTAGGTTTTGGTAAATTAAATTTGCATTAAATTTACTTGTTTTTTAAAGTGCTTAAAGGAGAACATTTTTACTGAAGGCGCTTGGCAAAATATATAAATATTAAGCAACTATATTGGATGATGCTGAGCGTTGACCATGATAATTCCATACATTTAAAACGAAAAGAGAGCAAACAAAAAACCATGCAAGACTCCAGCCTAGTCCCAGGCTCTCTCTCTATTCGCTGCTTTGATATATTTAAATGAGTCTTAAAAGTTTTATGCCTGGGTGTGCTGTGCGGAACGCTTCAGCGAGAGAGCCTAGCAGATTTCGGTAAAATGGTCCCTGATTTCAAAAAAGTGGTCCCTGGCCTGGTTACCAAGCATACCGCATTTGTAAATAGAAAATGTTATGGAAATTTCCTTTGCGTTTATAATTAAGACATTAGTTCTGCTCTAATGCTGTCGGAACAATGAAATAGGATACGTTTCGCTACCATACAGTCAGAATGGAATAACGGGCTAAATATGACTCGTGTTTACTAAAATTTAAAGCAATATTAAATGATATCTAGAAGCTTGAAAATTATGCCGAGTCTCCGACTAAAAATGTTTTGACAACACAGTCATGTCAGGCAAATATTTCCAAACTCCTCAGCTACTTAAAACTGTCAAGTAGAAAGCGTAGTTGTGTATCCCAGTATCATGGTCTAGTGTTGAGTATATAAATATAAGTATATAAATATCGATTATACGACCATTGCTCAGACTCAGTATCGTAAATTTGTATACTGTTTTTTAATTGAGCACATTTTTAATACAGTTTGAATTTGGCTATGTAGACATCGAACATGATCAACGAACATTGTCGTATTTATAAAAAGTTTTAACTTTTTATAAATACGACAATGTTCGTTGATCATGAAAATTATTGTTGTTAATTAAAATTATTTGTATATATAAATTTTCCGCCATATTAAAAATACTGAAATCTGCTAGGCGTTCTGAAGCACCTTTAGCGGTGACGTCACACCTAGGTCCCAGTCTCGTACTACTGTACATTCACGTTTTTTCTCGCGCTTGCTTCAGAACGACTGGGACTAGGCTGGCAAGACTCGTAGCTGGTCGAAAGACACAAACCATTTCAGGAAAAAATTATAAATAGTTATCGAAGATTGTTTTTCATTCTTCTCTGCCAATTTTGGTGCAGTCACTGTCATTTTTTGTTAAACGAGAAAAAACTTGAACAAACTTGGGCTTTAATTTCCCGGGCATTTTATGAAAGTTTGCGCTGGCGCTTGCGCTCTACAACGTGTAATAATATGGTTTTTTTATTGAATATGGATCCAAAAAAACATTGCATTCTGATCGATTCGTCAGCAGCTGAAATAAGATGAAAATTACCGGATATGGAGAATTATCCGCTCATTTCTGACCAATCAGGAGCGAGAACACAGTTTAAATGTGTCATAATCACTAATATTAGATACATACAGTATGTTCTGCCTAAACATATAATTATTATTTTGAGGTGAAAAATAAACAACGTTTTTTATTCAGTAGACACTTCAAAAGTTGTCGATTGCGATTTAGCGGCCATCGTGTGTTCAGCAAATGTTCAGCAAGTGCTCAACAAATCAATTTATATCTACAATCCTGGACAAAACCATCTGCGACACTTTATGAAAACATTCTTTTGTGCCTTTTTTTTACCAATTAAATCGGAATAATTTACTCGTTTGCCCCCCTCCTCCCCCAAAACAATGTTGGAACCTTAATTATACTACATCAAGTGTTTTTTTACGCTAAAACGTTTTCTTAATTTGCGAATTAGGTTTTGCACTATAATAAGTAGGGTCCACTATGGTTAACTGATTTTTTGTTGCATTTGTTTATCGTATTTTATTTGCTTTACTTTTAAGAATTCTACTTCTTCAAAAATGAATCCGTCCAACGATCACAACAACTGGATAACCGTCGGAGAAGTAATCAATCTAATTAGGAAACCTGTTGCTTTGTACACTGGCCAGATCGTAAAAAATTGGCATGCTAAGCTGTGTTGTCTTTTAAAAGGGGGATGCGCAAATCCTATAATGTGCGAGAAAGAAACAGTCCATAAAAAACTTTGCCACTCTTGCAACCAGTGGTACCAGGAACTTGCTAAATGGCATAAAAAACCAAATAAACGACAGATAAAATGGCGTGAAAACTGCGACACATCAAAGTGGCCTGTTGATCCATGGGAGGTAGCCAAGTTTTTTATGCCTTTCCTTGGAGACAATAAGGGAACCGTCAAAGACGCAGATTCCACTGATTTATCATCTCTTCTAAACGTCCTTGAGTGGATGGATGATGTAATTTTCTCTCCAGACAGGCGTGTGGATCTCGATCTTGTTAGAAAGCTTCGTTCAGTTAGAAACTCTTGGGCGCATTCATCACATCAAGAGTTAACCGATGCTGATCTTAACAACGCTTTTGACACTGCCAATAAGATTCTTGCCGACCTTGATATTATTTTCCGCTGTAACGAAGTCAAGAAGTGTATAAAGAAGATCAAGTTTGTACAAGCTAACGGAATAACCAATGTCGTAAAAGCCGAGTTAGATGCTGTAAATTTACTGCGCGATGAGTTAGTTGCAGATGTCAGCCAATTAAAAGAAAATCAAATCTCCGACCGACAGATCATCAAGGAAAACGAGAAAAGGTTGGAGAATCTCGAAAAACTCATCAGCCAATTACAAATATCGAATGTTCAAGAAACTGGACGACGGGCGCAAATAAAAAACTGCATACCTGACAAACCTTGTACGTTCATTGGGCGTGACGCCGAAGTAAAGGAAATTATTTCTTCCTTGACGGAGAACGGTTGTGGAATTGTCTCCATTGTTGGTGGTCCAGGGTTTGGCAAAAGCACCGTTGCAATTGAAGTCTCCCATCATCTTTGCGATAATCATGACATCATCGTCATTTTCTCATACCTGTCAAATGTTTCAACTGTGTCTGATGTTTTTCTACGTCTTTGTCAAGACGTTGGCGTTAATCCTGGAGACGATTCTAAATTATCGTTTACGCTGTGGTTAAGGAATATTAAGGAGAGAGTCATCCTTGTCATGGATAACATCGAGCAATTGCTTGAAGAAGAAGTAAAATCCGAATTTACTGAGTTAGTGGTGACGCTCCGCAAGAATTCACAGCAACAGTTGCAGATCCTAGCAACGACAAGAACCGCATTCTCAATTCCTAACCAACCCCCTAAAAGCATTCAGATAGGAGAGTTGGATGAAAATTCTAGTGTCGAACTTTTGAGGAAGTGCTGCCCTAATACAGAAGTAAGAGATGGTTACTTGCGTGACTTGGCTAACCTGTGTGGTTTTATTCCTCTCGCTTTATGTATCACAGGATCTAGAATTCCACGTCTAGATGATCCAACTGAGTTAATTCAATGGTTAAAAGAGAAGCCTATGAAAGCTTTACAGTCAACTGACAAAACGCAGTGCGTCCGAAAAGCCATCGAGTTTTCGTTTCAAATGTTGAGTAATGAAGACAAGAAAGCATTCGCTCGTCTTTCAGTATTCAATGGAAATTTCCAAAAGAAGTCTGCTCAAGAGGTTATCGAGAGAGATGGGTTGGAAACCCAAGATTTCTTAGAGCAGCTCGTAGATCGGAGTTTAATACAGAGTAGCAGTGATAAGCGCTTCGTGATTCACTCGCTTATTCGACGATTTCTGGCCGATCATGATCAACATCAAGATGAAAAGGTAATAGGAGAAGGATTGATGGTAAAACATTTTCTAAACATGTGCCATTTGTTGACCATGAAATCTTACTCCAAAGACGGATTTACCGATGCCCGAAAGTTAGTGAAGAAAGACGCCCACAATGTCGAAGAAACGTTAAAAATATGCTGCCAAAATGAAGTAACAAATGTGAATCCACACGTCATCGAATCCTTGGTTAGTAGTGATGTTTATAAGTCTTCATCCAGGTTCTTTTCCAACTTTGTCTGGGATCTTCTTCCACGGACTGTTTTAAGGAATTTCCATGAATCCTGTATAATGCTAGCCGGAGGTCGAGAGCAAGTAGCCATTCAGATCACATTTCAGTGTCTAGTAGCAGATCAAGAAGGTTATAAATCTGCATGGAAATCTCCTGAATATATCACCAGAATGGAGGCTATCAAGAAAGCCTTTGGCAGAAACGAGGCAGCGTTGAAAGAAGATAGGTCCTTATATAGCTATTGTTACTATTTTTACGCCCGATATTATTCTCACAAACCAACAAATACGCCATGTCCTGATCTTTCAGAAGCCGATCTTACACCTTTGTCTGAAAACAAAGCACGAAACCCAACGGATAATGCTCACGAGGTACTTATTTTAATCCGGCGTGCTGAGTTGAACAAAATACGTGCCACTAAATATAAAGAAAAGCGCGAAGAATACACGAACTGTGCAAAAGCGCTTTACAATCAAGCTTTGTCGTCAGCTAAAGAGTCGCTGGGCGATCACGAATTAACGTGTACTTGCCATAAATTGTTAGGAGACTTATACATAAAGAACGAAGAGGCGTTGATGTATTATTCCGATGCCATAAAGCTGCGCAAGAAACTGCAACTTGATTTTAACGAGCCTTTTATGTACTTGCTGAAAAATTACGGATCGTGCCTTTTTTATCGTGGTCGCTTCGAGGAATCAGTGGAAACGTTACACGAAGCTCGGAACATAGCTGAAAAGCTCGGTGAAAAACGCCCTTGTACAGCGAATGTATATTATGCTTTGGCAAGAACATATCGCTCCTGGAAACCTGATAGCCAAGAAGCTGCGAAATATGCCAAAGCGGCAGTGGAGATGAAAGATTTGTTGGACTCGCGTTACGTAAAAAACATTCATATTTTTGAAGCAGCGGAAGAAAACATGACGAAAAAGAAGAGTCAGCAATATTAGACAAATTTATTTTCTATCTCTGGAAATAACAACTGATTTCTGTAACACCGCTCTGACAAGTATGCTAAGTTTTAGAGTTTATACATGCAGTACATGAACCGACCTAGCCTGGTTGACTCGTTTAATTATGACAGCAACTTTAGAGTTTGCACAAAATAAATTTGCGATGTATTGAGATATATTTGTATTACTCGCTGTGAATGGTTATTTTTCCCGCGCGTAATACAATTATATACAAAATTTATGAACTTCGCAGGGCTATATTTTCCACATTTTGCAACATTTCGCAACCAAACTTTGCAGTCATACTCATCCTACGATGCTCTTTCCAGCTAAGCTAAGGTAATGGATCTTGTTCTTCTTGCCTAGATCAAAATTTAGTCTATAGCTGGAATCATCCATTATACACGCCGATTATAGCCTTTCTCGCGCAGGCTAAATGTCTTCATTTTGTGGGTACTGTCTTGCTTCAAAAGCGACTTTTCAAAGTTGAAATAGCAATTTTACCATGATATGTACAAGTACATTGGTACCTTTTTCTTTTACGAACAACAACAACCTTGAACTTTCAGGTGTTGACATTAATTATCACGAGCAGCTGAGGCAATATCCTAGTCGCTGTACTACAGTATATACTAAATTAATTTATGAAAGCAAAGTGATTTACTTTGAAGACGTTCACTTGCCAACCATGTATAGCTTCGCCTGATGGATCTGGCTTTAATATTATTCTGGTGAATTAGCATTGGAGTAACTAAATGTGAGGTACGATGGCCGAGAAGGGACTTCCGAGATTCCAGGATTCCAAGTATCAAAATTGACCATTTTAAGGCCGCGTTTACACTATGACGCTACGGCTAACACTCCTTTAAAAATTCACTACGTTTCTAGTAGGCTATTGAGACTACGTTGTGTTTACACTATAACGGAGTGATTTGCCGTAGCGTACTATCTATACGGAATTATATCGTGTTTACACTATAACGGAGTGATTTGCCGTAGCGTACTAACTACGGAAATCAATTTCGTTAAAAATTCACTGCGTTTCTTAGTATTGTATTTACACTATAACGGAGTGGTTTGCCGTAGCGTATTAACTACGGACCACTACGTTTGGCACGTACGGATGCAAATCACTACGCTACGGTAAATTTGCCGTAGCGTCATAGTGTAAACGCGGCCTAATAGCTAGTTTACGCGCTTTTACTCGAATAGCTGTTATGAAGAGATGAAATTTGTATATAGTCGAACCCCTATTAAGCAGACACCTTCGGGACCTCGTTGTCATCATCAGTGATCTGACACATATCTTTCGGCTCCTCGGCTGGCGGTTCACAGTCCTCCGTCCTCGTTCGTCATTTCCTCAATAATCTTGGCTCTGATGTCTTCGCGCCAAGTTGGTGTGTCACTGTCAATGTGCCATGTAAATTGATCTGAATTGTTATTTACTGTCGAATATTCAATACATTTTATCAGACAATCTGTCCGCTCAGAGAGGTTGGTTTGACATTTGGGACCTCAAGTAAAGTGTCCGCGTCCGCTAAAGAGGGGTGTCCGCTTAATAGGGGTTATGATAATAGTATTTTATTAAAGAAAACGATATGTGTCCGCTTAAAAGAGGTGTCCGCTTAAGAGAGGTGTCCGCTTATAGGGGTTCGACTGTAATTTTATTTTTAGTTTCTATTCACTAGTATTCATGCCCACCTACTTTATCCGGAATAATTTACCAAGATCGGCAAAAGCTAGGAAGTGCTATTTTGAAGCTTTGGGGCTTTTGGATGTCATTTTCCTGAATAGCTACTTTTGTAATTCTATAATAAGTAAATGTTCTTTTGTAACTTTTATTATGTAGTTTGCAATATGTTGCATGTCAATGGCTCCCTTATATAGGGTTTTTGCCGTTTGTTAAAATAAGTTTGAATAAATAATAAGTAACTATAATTAAAGTAAATTCGATATCCGGAGATTTCGGACATTCCGTGTTTCTGAGATTCCGTATTTCTGAGACTCCCTGTTTCCGTGATTGAAAACCTGAGTTCGTATGCAAGTGGAAGCACGTACTTGGATATTAAATGGCAAACATAACACGAATTGTATTGTCAAACCAGTTAATATCATATTAAACCACCGTAATTAATAATTATTGATGTAGGCCCCTATTTACATTTATTCAGTCATTCGTATAGACAAATATAATCGTGATTTCCATTATATATATAATTTTAAAGAGGCTGTCAAGTCCGTTCTGCTCATGCGCGTGTTTTGATTACATTTTTTTGTTTCAAACAATCGATAATTTAATTAAAATTCCGATCTGTTGGCCCACAAAAATGTAAACAAAACACGCGCATGAGCAGAACGGACTTGACAGGAATGACAGCCTCTTTAAAAATATATAAATAATTAATCGAAGAAATTTCTGTACCTTGTAAAGGTGGGGTTACACGAGCAACAAAATTGCTGCAACTTGCAACAAAATCTGATTTCTACGCATGTTAATTGAAAATGTTTACACATAAATTACAAATCACAAGCTCTCTCCTCCGCAGAGCCTCCTTAAGTATCTACAAATAACTTACATGAAGTTTCCTGAATAAAAGTGAGCGCGCGCGGTGTGATGGGAAGATTGAAATGAAGTTGGGGAGGCTCTGCCAGATAATGCGACGAAGTATGGTTTTTGAACAAAACTAGCTGTTTGACCTTTTTGACTCACGGATGTTGCTGTGAGTCTTTGTGGTTTACTTGAGTGGGGGCAGTTAAACAATGGGAAATGACCAGCCTGCTTTGCGCGCAGTGTTTGCCTGCGAACGGGTCTTTTGGAACCGAAAATTGGGCTGGAGCACGCTTCACGTTCTTTTCAACTTTTGACTTTTTGACAAGTGTATGTTAAATTAAAAGGTGAGTGTTTCGTTTTTGTTTAGTTGACTTAATTGTTATCTGTTTTTCTACTTCACCCAACAGATCTGCTGTTAACACACTGATCTGCCTTTTAGCTGAAATATTAACAATATTTTGTTCAATATATATACAAGTGTTCACATTTTCTGGTGCCTTTCGAGCGCCTCTGTCAGCTGTGTTTCAACACCGTTTCAACACTGTTTCCATAGTTTCTGTCGATTGAAAGAGTTTTTTGTTTACCAAATTTAATCATGTTATTTAAATAATTCATGTTTGCTATCACGGAATACAAAGGACATATTTGTCTTATTTGAAGCAACACGACACAAAATCTTGGTATTAAAGTCACGTTGCCGTTGTATATTTCATATGACTGCGCTTGCACTGTAGCCTAGTATCAGCTGGCACGGACGAGTCTCAGCAGTGTATCGATAAATCGCTTCATTTTTATCCTCTAACAGGAGAATTTCAGCTGTCCTTATGCTCTTTGATGAATGTCCCACTTATATTTAGACGCAATGAAACAACATCAAAACCACTAGTTAATCCAACGAAACTCTGTCGGATTACTGGGGATGGCAATTGTTTATTTAGAGCACTGTCGTATATTTTAACCGGTAGACAAACATACCACATGATTTTAAGACAAAAAATAGTGGATCACATGAACAGTATAGAACATGTCCTTAGACCACATATGAATAGTTCAGTAGATCAATATTTAGCCACAAGCAACATGAGGAACAGTGGTGTGTGGGGGACTGATATTGAAATTTTTGCAGCCATTCCCTTTTCAATGTAGATATTTATGTTTATTCACAGTTTGGTAACAATTATAAATGGTCTAAAAAGAAAAAGAATATTGGACACTGAGGCAGCATTACCACCTGGATTTACTTAAACACTGTACTGCCATTGGACAGCTACCTGTACCGTTGTATCAATAAGGGTGCTGTTTTATAGTTGTTCTGTTTAAATTTTTCTGTTCAACACTGTACACTGTACATCATACAGCTACGGTCATTGATGCAGCATGTACTGTATTGGTTACAGCTTTATACTTATAGCTATCATGTTTAAATTGTGCTGTTCAACACTCTAGATCGGACAGCTACGGTCATTTGATATATTACATTGGGGACAGCTTTATACTTATTATAGTTATCATGTTTAAATTGTCAGTCTGTTTAACACTGTACATATCGGAAAGCCACAGTCATTGGATGTACTGATACTGACTGTATTAGGTACAGCTTTATACTTATAATTATTCTGTTGAACACTATACACACCTGACAGCTACGGTTATTGTACTTTTATATAGATTTGCTTTGATGGTGTGTAGTTTTATAATAATCTATCAGATTGTTTTTTCAAGACTGTTGATATTGGTTAGGGACAGGTCATTATTTATGGAAGGGGGGGGAGGGGAATTTTTTCTTTTCTAAATTTTTAAAATTGAAAGCCCCCCCCCCTAAATGGCAGAAATTTAATGATGCCCCCCCTGCATATTAGAATATTTTTCTTTGACCCCCCCCCCACTTTCATTTTTACTCGTCAAATGGGGATACCCAGGCGTTATAGTTTGACCCGGGCGGGCCCCCCCATTTTCATTTTTACTCGTCAAATGGGGATACCCATGCAGGCGTTATAGTATTAATTATTAAATAAGAATATGGAACTGGCAAGATATTAACGTCGACCAAAAATATATATTTATTAGCAGAAAATTATAATTAAAAGAGGAGTATTTTTATATATAACACTAAAATCAGGTTTCCATTTGGTCTGGGCGATTGTAACCATGTTTAAGGCTGCAACTAGACTTGATGGTACGAATTATTGCCATAGCAGCTGCGCGGCAACAATGAGAGCAACAATCAGTAAAATTAGCAGCAAAAGGAGATAGCAATGACAATTCTGCAAAGGCATACCTGCGAAATACAATGTATAGTGGTCTATACATCCTATTTTATGTGAGATTTAAAATTATATAAAATAAAATGACATACTAGCTACCAGATAAAATCTTTTAGAATGAACATGGGTGGGTGGGTCGGGAAAAGGAATCGAAGCGCAAAACTTGCTGCAGCTAGGCAAAG